AAAAAAAAAAAAAAAAAAAAAAAAACCACCAGAAATTTCATCCTGCGGAACCATAACAACACAGAGGGGTTAAAAGCCACCATCTTTAGAGCCACCACACAGACCTCGGCCACTTGAGCTAACAGAGTTACCGGTAGCAGTAGGTTGTCATCTCTATGTGGGTCAACCACTAGAAGGAGACGAGGTGCACCTTTTGCCAGTGGATTGCACAGTTCGTTGCCGACAGGAGAAGAATCTTGATATTCACTTGATATTCAGGAATCCTGTGTTCTATTCTGGCTCCTGAGGGGAGTGCTTACAGACTCTTCTGCCTTTGTCTCTTCCAGGCTGCCCCATTCCCAGTCTCCTGCCAAACCTAGGCTCCTCATCCCACTTCCCATACCAGGCCTCTCATTCCAGAACCTCACCCCCCACTTTCCTTGGCTCCTTGTCCCAGCCCCTCTCCTTTACCCCACTGCAGCTCTAAATACAACTTCATCCCCCTTACAGCTCCCTGTTGATTAGATCAGAATTTGATTTATTTCTGCTGTCTAAGCATTGCTCTGAAGGGTTTTCCATTTCTGTCTTTTATACATTCCCAGCTCTCTCTCACTCTCTGGTCTATTCTCCAAGACCACTCTTGTTTTGCGTTTTTCATGATATATCAGATTGTTCCTCTGGTGCTTGTGGTAACTCCACTCCCTCCTGAATGGTTTCCTCTCAGGTATTTCATCCCTTCTCCTACTTGCCCACAGCAGACAACAGATGACTTTTGTGTTATTGTATCAACCCATTTCTTTAAACCTAGCTTATCTTCTCTATTTCAAACACGGTGTGTTAGTTCATCCTGAATGGTCCCAAAACAGATTTGTTACTCATGGGGCATCTAACATTTGTGCTTTCACCCTTCTGTGTATCTTACAATGAAAACTAAACAAACGAATACTCAAAACACTCTAGCCCTGCATATAGTTGGCTTATATTAACTCACGCTCTTATTGCTGTTTTCCTCCCTCCTGCAGCCGTTCCTACTGTGTAATTTATCCACTGATGTGTCTTGTCTTGAATGAGACTGCACGCTTGGTAGGGCAGGGACGGTCCATGTCTCTGTGTCTGAACAGTGCCTACTACAAAGGAGTCTCAGTCCTAATTGGAGTCCTCCAGGCACTACTGTGATTAATAATAAACTTCCTCTATTGGACTATGGCGTCTATTTCTCTGTGCATCTGTTTCTCATCACTGTTTCCTTCACAATTGAAAGCCCATTTGCAGAGTCCTAGTTTCTTGAATTGTTTCCATCTTGTTTCTGAATTGTGGATGTAGCTATTAATTTCTTTCCAGATCTTCCCCATTTCCAGTGACGCTTACTAATGCCAGTTCTGTTCACCATCTCGCTGGCCTAACCTTTACTGTCGTCTGCATTTCTTTTTCTTCCCTTGGGGTATGTATCAGTTCTCCAGCCACAATACACTGAAAGGTGGGATTTAATTTTCCCAAACAGCAGACTTCCTATGCAGCAATACCCACTCCTGTTTGTTACATGTCCTTTTAGCTCCTCTTTACCAACCTCTGGGAAATCCTCCATTCTAGACCCTATCCTGTTTCCACTGAAGTTAGGCCTGGTCCACACTAACCCCCCACTTCGAACTAAGGTACGCAAATTCAGCTACGTTATTAACGTAGCTGAATTCTAAGTACCTTAGTTCGAACTTACCGCGGGTCCAGACGCTGCAGGCAGGCTCCCCCGTCGACTCCGCGTACTCCTCTCGCTGAGCTGGAGTACCGGCGTCGACGGCAAGCACTTCCGAGATCGATTTATCGCATCTAGACAAGACGCGATAAATCGATCCCAGAAGATCGATCGCTTACATCCGGACCAGGAAGTAAGTATAGACGTACCCTTAGTAACAAAACGTGTGTATTGGAGAAAGCCTCCTGCATTGGCTTGAATTGGAGTGTTGGACATTCAAGAAAGAATATGGTCTAAGCCTGTCCATATGCATGTGTACGTATTTCACCATTGTGTGTATTTAATTTTATGTTTTTTAGATAAAAGGTCTACTGTGCACATATTAAAAAAAGGAGACCAGGCCAGCAACACAGGATTTCATTTAACATTTTTAAACTTGTCTAGCTTGCTGGAGTTCAAATGAAAAGTTAAAATCAAACAAAAACAAAGAAACCCAGACACACACCCCCAAATAGCAAAACCTGGAATTTTCATGGTGTATTCTGAATGTTTCGGGGTTTCTAGACATGTGGTATTCAGACAGAAATGTGTTCTTCTGGTTTATCAGCTGACAGTATCACCCAAAGATTCCCAGCCCAGTGGAAAACAGAAAAACTTTGGGTTTGAAAATTGTATTCTGGGAATTTTGTCATGGTCTCAAGGCCAGAGCCTGGGATGAGGCATTTGGAGTTCTGGATTCTAGTCCCTCCTCTGCCACTGCCTTGCTTTGCAACATCAGGACAGTTACGTCCTGCTATTGCTAAGTGCATAGCTCACACCTAAGCCCCGGCAGGATCCTTGAACTAAGAGTTCCCCTGGTTATCTCATCTGCTGGGCCTAATCTGGTAGGTGTGCTCAGAGCATGCCTAACCCACATAAAACACTGCTGTGGTGGTGCTGCCCCCTTCCTTTGTACCACAGCTCAGTGGTTAGAAAACTCACCCAGGATGCAGGAGGCCCCAGTTCAAGTCACTGCTTCAAATAAGGCCAAGCAGAGATTTGAACCAGCATCTTCCACATCTCAGAGGAATACTCTAAGCACTAGTCTGTTGGCTATAAGGGGTGGGAGAGGGAATGACCACCACCACTATTTTTTTTGCAAAAAATAGTGTCGGACCTAGCTTAGGCACCTATCTCCAGGAGAGGGTTCACGACCGTGAATCCCGAGTGGAGTTAGATGGTAACTACCTTTGAAGGATGGGGCTAGTTTCAGCGGCTTGCTCCCTGCTCACCTTGCTGGCTTTCTGTGACTCCCATAGACTCTCCCCATTTATTGTATAGGGAGCATGGACACCTAACTTGGGACTGAGGATTCCACTAGGTGGCAGGGTGCCTGAAGTTAGGTCTTGCAATTCTGAGCCTCAGTCTCCTTTGTGGATCTAGCTCAGGGGTCAGCAACCTTTCAGAAGTGGTGTGCTGAGTCTTCATTTATTCACTCTGATAAAGGTTTCGCGTGCCAGTCATACATTTGAACGTTTTTAGAAGGTCTCTTTCTAGAAGTCTATAATATATTACTAAGCTATTGTTGTATGTAAAGTAAATAAGGTTTTTAAAATGTTTAAGAAGCTTCATTTAAAATTAAATTAAAATGCAGAGCCCCCAGGACTGGTGGCCAGGACCCGGGCGTGAGTGCCACTGAAAATCAGCTCACGTGCCGCCTTTGGCACACGTGCCATAGGTTGCCTACCCCTACTCTAGCCCAATTGACTAGCAACACCCTCCCTTTTATCACTCTCACAGCTTCCCATCAGCAGCATTCCTGGGTCCCCAGAATTGAAACTCTATTGTCTTGACCCATTGCATTTCCTGGTTCTTGAATAATACTCAGATTTTCACCCCTTCAGGGATACCCAACATCACTCATGAGTGGCGTCCTTTTGCTCTACTCCACGTGGCTTAAGTGGTCATCAAAATAAAGGATTGTTTTGCTTTTCACCTTAGCATTTAGCCCCTGCTGTATAAATAGCAAATGATCTTTGAGGGCAACCATCACAAAATACTGATTTAAAAAATAAAAAATATATAGCAATTGCAATGACTTCCTTGAAAACCGAGGTGGTTATTTCACAAGTGAGGCAACTTTTCTTTCTATCCAGCAAAATTTTGCAACAGTATCTCTGACTAACACTGCATATTTATTTTACTTCCCAAACGATAAATACTCATTACTCCACTTCTAGACACATACATTAATCTGTTTGTCAACAAATTAAACGCTATTATCTTGCCAAGGCTATTGTGTCCTACTCCCTCACTGCTTTGGAGCCTTCTGTTTGCATCTAAAAGCAAGGATGCAAATGGTTTGGAAAGCTGCTGAGTGCTTCAGCACTTATTGACTTCCTTGGGAATTAAGTGCACTCAACACCATTCAGGAGGCATTCCGCAGCTTGTAGCATCAGCCCCTTCAGAGATGGCGATTTCTTCTGCACTACATCCCAATGTCTATTCCCTTTGTTATTGTTATCCAAGCGAAGGTCTTCTTATATAGAGGTTGCTTCAATCTTGGTTCCTAACATCATCCCCAAGAAAGACTGGGCCACCCTGGCATCAGATGGAATAAAGGGGAACTGGGCTGCAAGCTGAAGTCACATTTTAATAGGATTAAAATAAAAATTGCCAGGAAATCCTGCAGAGAGCAATCATAGAATGATCTGTGAGGCTATATTAAAAGTTAATCATTCCTTACCCTTCATTTGTGTTCCTAGCAAGAAGTGCTCACATGGTAACTCTAAATCATTGCAGCTGGGTTCTACAAGATAATCAATTGCAGTTCTCAAAAACCACTATACCCTGCTGTCCTCATTATAGAAAAGAACATAAGATTTTTTTTGAGGGGCGGGGGGGAAGGGAAATGAGTAAAGGCTATTTGGCCCTTCAAGGCTCATCAGTTTCTTTAGGAACATAGTATCGAAACGGTTTCTTCAGTTATCCCGGTGTGTTTTATTTTTACCTCGACAACCTTGGCTGGTAGGTAGGCTATTGCACACGGTCGTTATTTTCACTGTGGAAAAGAAGTGTTGCTAGCTGTATGCCGTGAATTCTGTTTTCTTGAATCTTCCTGGTATGGCCCCTTGGTTTATCATCATCATCATCAATTTCATGTCTCATTAATTCTACTGCTTCTGATCTTTTTACTAGCCAAGAAACCTTCATTGTCCACTGAAGAACTAGAAGATGCCTGCCTGCCAGTAACCGAAGAGACTCCACAAGCCTTACTTATTTCTGAATCCACAGATTCCCCACAGAAGCCAATGGAAAGAAACCTAGCACAGCTCCCCAGCCCCCCTTCACTTCCAATTCCACCACCTAAGGCAATCTCCAAAATCAAGAGTGTAACAGGTTAGTCACGTTGGTCAATAAAGTCTCTTCCATCCCATCGACATTGTCCTCTCCTTGTATATAATTTTTCTCTTATATATATTTTGGGCCAGTTACTTAGTTGATGTAAATCAATGTCATTGATGTGAATGGAGCATTAATGATTTACACCAGCTGAGGATCTCGCCCCCAATCTAGAAGCACCGAGTCTTTGCATGTTGCACATATATCAGACCTGTCCTGGTTTGTTTATTGCAGGAGGCGGCAGTAAGTCCACCTGCACTAATCCATGTAAAGCAGATGACATTGACAGCTACCCAATCAGCCGCTTGTGCACGACTTGCCACAAGTCGCTATGAAACACAAGGAAGGTTAAATGCTTTTTGCTATACAGAATCAGTGTGATAACGGTCCAGAAGCAGTGAACTCAGCTGTCAACTGCAAAGCTCAAGTCAATAGATCCTTCAAAGCTTTCTGCCTGAAGGATTTGCTCATTAGGGCAGGTCTAAATTAGAGCGGTGCAAGCTCCTCTAATGACATATGAACAGTTCACCCAAATTTTCACAACCCACTCCTGCATCTCAGGTTTCATTCCGAATTTCAGGTTCACTCACACACACACACACACACACACACACACAGAGCCTGATTCTCTAATGTGCCACAACGGTGATCTTACACTTTTCACCACTTCCAGCAGTGCAAAGGAGTTTAAAGTGAGTATAACGGTGATTTAGTCCCACTGCAAGGCTCCTTTACACTGCCAGAGTGCGCCCATAATCAGGCATCTAAGCTGCTAACTGACAACCATTGTTCCTGCAATCATTTGCATCCCCAACTTACTGGTACAAAGAAAGAGGCCCCATTTGCAGGGTCACCATGAAGCAGAAGATCATAGGGTGCTGCTTTAATGACTAAGACTGATTGAAAGTTTTCTGTCTCAACTGTTTTTCAATGGAAAATTGGGTTTTCACCAACATTATTTTTCTTGATAAAAGTGTCTGCTTTCCATGGAAAACTTTTTTTAAAAAACAAAATATAATGGCCAAAACCAAAACAATTTGTATTTTCAGCTGAAAACTGAAATATTTCAATTCAAAATGGTGGTGTTGTGCTTCATGGGAGTTGTAGTTCAGATGCCTTTTGTTTCCATTCTTCTCTATGGGGCAGGCTTTCTGGCCAGACTACAGGTCCCATGATGCACTATGGCCCAGGACTCCTATGACTCACCTCTTCCCCTCATCACATGGGAGATATAGTCCATCCTGAGAGCTCAACCCATACAGGAGAATGGGCGCATATGGCACCCAAAGTACAATTCCCATGAGGCACTTTGCAACACCATTTTGAATAAAAATGTTGTTTGCCAAAAATATTTCATTTTTAGGTGAAATATTTCCATTTTGATATTTCATTTTTTGTCTAAATTTTCTTCGGGGAAAAGCTATTTTTCAACCAGCTCTAATAATGGCACATCTTCTTCAGTTCTGCTTCTGGGAGTGGGAGTAATTGTAAGCCCAGATTGAACAAGTACCGGCAGTGGGAGAGGGCAGTGGGGTGGAGGTGGGGAGAGGGGGAGAGAGTGACATGAGAGAAAAACAGAGGGGGTTGGAAAGCCCTTTATTTTATTTTTTTCCCCTAACAGTGTTGGAGGTGCTGATGGTGGAGGGAAGGAGAGGGGAATAAGCCAAGCACTAATTAATCACAAAAACGGGGGGGGGGGGGGAACGGCAAGGTACAAGATACCATTTTGTAAGATTATTCCCTGAACAGCTCTCATTAGGACAAAGTGTGATTAACAAAAAAGTGCTCAACTTTAGACTAAGCTGCATCCAGGCTGAACTGGCCCCGATGAGGCTCTGGGATCACGGTAGCATAAAGGTGACAGTAAAGTCCCCCAACCCCTCAGCAGCTTGGCTAGACCAGAGTATCCTTCCCTATTGCACAGAGATAGAGTATGAATTAGGAGGTGTTATATGGCCCTTCGAGCTGTGATTCAGTGGAGAGTGGAATGATCATAAATATCCATTGTGTGTTTCCACAGTGGCACCTAATCAAAATCCCCTTGAGCTCAGATATATGTCTCCTGGTAGCTGAGGCTCTCTGCCCTCTGGGTATGGAGAGAGCATGCTGATCAGTTAAAGGGGAAGGAATTTAGATGCTACTGCTCTGGTACACAGCCTTTGTGGCAGTGTACTTTGCCTACTAGACACTCCAGTAGATGCTCCTATGTTTTAAAGTGTTCCAGGTTTGAGGAAATAGATCACCTACATGGATTTGAGTCATTCTTTCAGCTGAACGTATACATGCATACGGAGAGAAGGAGGATTACCCGGTTGTTAGGGCATCATCATGGGAGACATGGGTTTGATTCCCTGCTCTACCACAGACTTTGTGTGACCCTTCCCAAGTCACTTAGCCTCTTTGTGCCTCCATTTCCCATCTGTAAAATGTAGCACTGTCTTCCCTCAGCAGGGGGAGGGAAGTGTTGTGAGGATAAATACAATAAAGATTGCGAGGTGCTCATATATAAGCGCCAGAGATAGCATACATTTTGTCTTGTTAAATTACACACCTGGGGCCTGGTTTACAATGTGAGATTTCTACTTGTGCACGCGCACACACACACGCAAACATCTCTCTGAGCACTAGACCAATGCTAACAGTTGCACATGCACAAGTGTTGTGTTTGCAGGTGCAACACACATTTCCTGGGTGCAAATTCTTGCACATGCCGGTACTGGAGTTTTAAAAGTGCACACCATAATTTTTGTGCCTGCAAAGTGCAGGCCCATGAACATCCTTTCCCACATATGGACTCTGGGTAGAAACTCAACTCAAAATTTAGCCCATAATGCCATAGAGTTTCACCAGGTATCGAAAGTTTTTGTATAGTGTTATGTTGCATGTTAGTAACTAACCACATATTTCAAACAATCAGTTTCCACTAACTTATTCAGGATTTCATTTTACACTCTTGATTTTCTATCTAATAATTTATACTATAATTCGATACTTTAGTAATTTTATTATTTTTAATTTGAAACTTGAAAAATATTTTGATTTTTTTTTTTAAATCTACTCAAATATATGCATACTGGACAAAATTCTGCCCTGGGTTACTTCATTGATTTTGTGGGTTGTGCCAGATTTTCACCAGTGTCCTTGAGAGCAGGGTTTGGGTACCGTGTAGGGTACCATGCAGCACAATTGTCCTGGAAGGAAATATCTTAATAACCGATGTTTATTATTATCCTTAAAGTGCTAGACCTCATTTTGAACATCTCCTGTTTTCTCTTGCAAGTTTCTGGGCTAACCAGGAGCCCATTCTTGAAATCCTTGCACAGAAATGTCAGGATACCACTGATAGCAGTGGGAGTTTTGGCTGGATAAGGGCAACAGAGTTTACCTCACAGAAAATCAGAATGGTAAGGAGGGCCTGTAGAGAGACAAGGTGGGTGAGGTAATAGCTATTATTGGATCAACTTCTCTTGGTGAAAGAGACAAACTTTCAAGCTACACAGGTCATACCTGAAGAAGAGCTCTGTGCAGCTTGGAGGGGTCTCTCTGTCACCAACAGAAGTTGGTCCAATAAAAGATATTACCTCACCCAGCTTGTCTCGCTAATATCCTTGAACCGACACAGCTACAACACAACACTGCAAACAAAAAGGGTATGTGTCAGTTTAAATTCATATTATCAACACTAGGTGGCAACAAGAGAAAAGGAATAGCCTTCTACACACTCCAACTAAACAGATCTCCTGTGCTGGTGTGTCTCCAGTGTAGAAAGTACCACAACCCAGGACAGATATTTGGCCAGGAAAGTGCAATGAAAAGAATAAGAACTGCAGAAAAGAAAAGTGAAGCAACATCTTTGTCAAACAAGGCTGTTACCCCAGCTCCCCCCATGCAGTCTTAACCTGAGTGGGCGAAATATCAGAGGCACAGCAATAGAAGAGGCAGGGGTTTGTTGCATGGGGGTGATAGATCTGAGTGATGGGATTGGAGAGGAGAATGTCAGGGATGGGCTGTTCAGAAAAGAGAAGAATCACCTCAGCCCAGAACTCAAAAGGACACCGCTATAAAGATTTTAGTGTAAGATTTCCAAGCTGCATTAGGTGGCTTGGAAAAAAATAAATCTCAGTTTTGGGTACAAAAAGCATCAGTTAAACATCCTCGCACTCCTCTTCCCCTCTCCTTGATACTCGACCCCACTTCGTTCTTCGCTGAAATGCTTTTGGAACAGATCAGCTGTGGCAAGTTTGGCTGAACTTGCTAATATCACCATATCTCACAAGCTCTGGTGTTTCCCTATATGGGGTGAGAGGCTGGGGCCCATTATGGGGCAGGGGGAGAAGGGCAGAGAATGGATCCTGGCACATTTTGACCTCAGCGAAGACCAGATTGACTTAAAATTTACGCAATCATCTGGAGCTCAGCAGAGAAAGGTCGAGATTGGAAAGCCTGGCTGGTGGCCATCAGGGTTCATTAGGGATCACGGAGAGGGGGTTGGGAGTAGTGTTCCCTCTAATTTTTAATGTCCATGTGTGGAATGAATTTTGTTATGTGCACCAATATGGAGGTGGTGGGGGTGGGGCCAAGCGGTTCGGGGTGTAGGAGGGGGCTCAGGGCTGGAGCAGAGGGTTGGGGTATGGGAGGCGAGGGCTCTGGCTGGGGGTGAAGGCTCTGGGGTGGTGCCAGGGATGAGGGGCTCGGGGTGCAAGAGGGGGCTCAGGGCTGGGGCAGAGGATTGGGGTGTGAGGGCTCCGGCTGGGGGTGCGGGCTCTGGGGTGGGGCCAGGAATGCAGGCTGCCCCAGGGCTGCGACGGGGAGAGGCTCCTGCCATGATCGTGGTAGCCCCGGCTGGGCGAGGGGTACCTCTCCCCCGCCATGGCAGCTCCAGCAGAGTTGGGCTGGGCTGGGCTGGACCAGGGGAGGGGCACCCTCTCCCCGCCTGTGTGGCCCTTTATAGCCTACTGCACGGCCGCACAGCTTAGCAGGAACTAAGGTTGAGAGTCAGGAATGGATTGGTGATTTTGGGCAGAAAGAAAGAAGAATCCAATTGGAAGAGGGGAGTAAAATAGGAAGATGACCTATTTTTCCAGGCTAAATCTTTGCAGCCTCAGTCCTTGGGCTTCAGATTGTTTGAGTATACAAGTCACATCCCCAATATGCAATGGCACAACAATGACACCATTTTTATCTGTCCAGCATGTAGAATCAACCTCAACCCAGGCTCCGTGTGCCACAATGAAAGGCTCAGTGTGACTTTTTATCACTTTGTTTTCAGCAGCAGGAAGTGAAGTAGATGAGCCAGCAGTGAAATCCCCTCCTTCCACTATCCTGAAGAATTATGTCATTGTTGGTTCCTCCCAAATCTCAGGACAAGCTGCCCTCTTCCATCCATCAGGCCAGAAAGGCTCCGATCCCCATGTCAGAGGACAGCTACCAACGCCGACCGGTTCCCCTCATCCCGCTGCTGTCCACCTGCCTTTACCTCCCAGCAGAGTCATTGAGGAGCTCCACAGGGCTCTGGCCACCAAACATCGGCAGGATAGGTAAGTATAGCACATAGAGGCACCGCGAATACCAGGAAACAGTATCCTTTCAATGAAAGTATTTTTCATAATACAAATTGCTGGTAAGAAAATATTTTTTCCTGTCGTTAACACTCCACCCATTTAGTCTGATTAAAATCAGGTTGGTTCTGTCCACACGCTGCTTGGTGGCCCTAGTTCTGGCATCGATCCATGGTTAAAATGGAAGTTTCAGCTGTTACTTTATAATACACTACTTTTATGACAGGGAAGCTACTGCAACATGGAAATAAGGGATCAAGGAGGTGGAATCATTTGCTAATCCTCAGGCCAGTGTAAGAGGTGGCTCATCACTGTCTAAATTATGAAATTTTGATATCCTGCTTCTGTGAAGTCCTCCTAAAAGAACTGCACCCTTTCAGACCACACATGCCACTTTCATCCTGTTAGAGAGGAACTGATGGGAGGTCAAATGTTCAAAAGCGCACACATGCACAATGATGCACGACTACTCTGCAGGCAAAATTTCCCAAGGTTGCATGCACAAACCAGGCAATTGCACCCGCAAATGGTCATTCTGATCACGGGGGTGCAAAATTATCTGATCTGAAAAATTACCTGGATTTTGCTGGAAAGAGCCATGGCCTTCTCTCTAGCCTCCTGAAGCTTTCCTGATCATAGCTTTGCTGTCGGCCCGTGGCTTCTCTGAATTGTTCCTCAGCCCTGCTCTCCCCAAGTCCTCCCGATCTCTTCTGTCTGTCCTCTTTATCAGTTGATGCTGTAACTTTATAAGCATGAACAGATCTACCAATGAGATGATCCTCTTCCCAATTAAAAGACTTCGACCCCTTTCCTTGTGTTGGTTCATTTCCCCATCTGTGAAGTGAATTTAAGAATAACCTACCTCAAAAGATTAACTGGTTACTGCTTACTGTAGCCCTGTGAAGATGCTATACAAGTGCTCAGTATTTTTACTTTAGCATGGGACTCTTGGCTTCGACATGAGCATATATGGTACCTTGTTTTGCAATACACATGGCTATGTAGGAGTGTGTTGGATACATTGTCTGCTTTTCATTAGAAACCCTCCACTGCAGCAGTAGAGAAAGACAAAGGTAATTCCAAAGCTATATGATTGGTAACATTTCTCAATGCCACAACAATCTTTCTCACAGGAAACGGATTAATACAATGCCCTTTCCAGGCCCTGTTAAATCCTTGCCAGAACTTTTAGAAGGGCAATGTTTCATACAATGTATGTTTTACGTTAGAAGCACATGCTGGGTTCTTTAAAAAGGTCAGCATGGTACAGCACACAACTATACATAAAAAAAAAAACACATTAATCATTCCCCTCCTGTACCTTATTCTTGTGACAACGTTTGAGAAGTGGAACAGCCCCAGACATTCTCATGGCGATTCAGAGAATGCAGTCCAATGATGCCCCTGGTACATCTCACTGAAGACATGATGCCCGTGTTCATCTAATGCTAAGGTTTTTACTATGGCTTTAAAATGGACTTGTCTGTCAACTCAGGTGTGTGCCTTCCATCCACAGCTTTCACGGCAGAGAAAGCAAAGGGTCTCCCAAAAAAAGAGTGGATGTCCGTCCATTCAGAACATCTAGCATCGAGGGCAGCAAAGAAAAGGAGAACGCACTGAGCCACAGTAATGATCCGGAGAACAAGCGAAACTCAGTCAAAGAGTCAGATGAGAACAAAGAAAACCTGATCATGAACTCAGAACTCAAGGACAACTTGGTTTTTTATCAGGATGAAGAGGTGTTGAATGACTCCATCATTTCTGGTAAGAAAAGTTAATTTATTATCCTTATAAAAATATACCACTTCAGTTGACAAGAATGGTCCAAAATATCTCAGTGTATGAGTGTGAAAATGCAATGTTGTGGCACATTTTTTGTGCACAGATTCTCAGTGAATAGATAGCGCTAAAGTTATGCCTGAACGACGCGGTTTGTGCTCATGTCTGTCTTGGTAACTACAGCATACCAAAAATGGCATTTAGAGATACATAGATAATTCAATAGGTGCTGTCCTTTCAGTTCTGCCTACACCACTTGGTACCATCTCACCTGAATGGCAGAGCTTCCAGAAGGGGCATCTCATCATCCGTGAATGAGGATTTCTGAGAGTCTGGTGCTGACAAATCACTTTTGGAAATGCCCCAGTCTGGAAGCAATGCAGTGATGGAGTATACAGTATAGGAGGCTATTTGGCAATGAGTAGCAGACCTATCTTGGAGGGACACGTGTCCATAGGCTGGGATCTGAAGAACTGAACCCCAGCTCCCCTGAAGATCTATTAGCGAATCTCTGACAGCTCAGTGAATTCTTTCTACCCATCTGCCAAGTTGTATCTGTACTGGATTACATTGTTGAACTCTCTACAGCTCTGGTATGCCTATAACACGCAAAAATGTGCCTCCCTCTGGGAGGTTTTGGAAGGGGTAATTTATTTACTCCTTCATTTATGAAGTTAGGTCATAGATTAAATTTTCTCTTGGAAGCACTGCTCTGTGCTTATCTGAACCATATGACCTCTTAGCAAAATATTATGGGAACAATTATTATTATCCAGGCCAATTGTTTTATTGAGCTGAGCCACTGGGGCTCTTTGGAGAAATCATATTTCAATCAAGTTTTCATAGTATTGGCCAGTTCAGCAGGACCACATTCTATTTTAAATGAGTTTCAGTAGATTGGAACGGGACAGGCTTAGAGAGAGCCCACTGCAAAAGTAACCAGTGTAGTGTAGGAGATTGAGAAGGAATTTTAAAAGGAAATGTATCTAATGATAAGTAATGAACTGGATTATTGGGTTCTGATTTTAGCTCTGCTGCTGATTCTGGTATCTTATTGAAGGGTGTTGTAGCCATGTTGGTCCCAGGATTTTAAGAGAGACAAGATTGGTGAGATAGTTGAGATAAGGTAGAAACGGAAATAAAAGATAAATCTTTTGCAGAATTTCCCTGCATTTAAGTGAAAATTCTCTTTTTAAAAACAAACAAACAAAAAAATCTCCAGATAAATTTTTCCACATCTCCCTGGGAATATCTATTGTCCCGGATTATAAGAAGTCCACTGAGTTTGGTGTAAATTCTTGTAGATTAATTTGTTTAACACAGGCCATGCAGTCCTCCTGTAACACAAATAAAAGTGTTTATTCTACTGTTGAAGACGTGTGTCATATATTTATTTAATTAGACATGATTTTTGCTTACGCAATTGGTGGAAAACCATGATGGCAAGAAACCAGTGACTGTAAAAGCTTATGTGGCATCCAGAAGCAGCTCTTAAAAATAAAAAGTGCTTCAAAATATTTCATCTTATTATGGCTTAAGCATTGGTATCTACTTAGGGTATGCCCTCTAAAGGGTTAAAAGGTCATTTTGCTCAGTAGACGTTAATTCAAGAAAATGTCAAATGACATTTAAATACCAGAAAATCACAGAAGTTAAGTATGGAAAAACCTATTCGCTTATCCAGTCTGTTCCCCAGTCAAAGTGGAATTCCTACAATATGTATATTAGCATTTTGTCAAGTTTTAGGAATTCTTTTTAAAAAAAAAAATTGTAAGGCCTAGGGCCATGTAAAAACATGCTTGTTCAACTACCAGGACTGTGTGTGCAAGTGAGATATTTGCACACGCAGATGGACAATTAGATACCAGTTTATTCACGTCTATAATTTTTATGACCAAACTAGCACTCAGTTGTGGATGTATTTTTTCTGTGATCCACAGGTGCCTGGCCTTTTGAAATCAGGCTTTGCATATCCCAAGCTATGAATACTTCCCCATGTCCTTTGGAGGACAGCCTTACCAGATCTTACTATCAAGTTTTTCCTTCTGTTCCATTACTCTTAATTATCTACCCGGCTACCATCCTACATCATTTATTTCACTCCTTGCTGCTCAGATAAGGGACGGGATCAAATGAAAACCCCAGATGTGACCAGAGCCAACCTCTGGGAAAGTTCAGATCCAAACTTTGTGTCAGGCCCCAGCCTCTGTAAGAGCCCTGAACCATAGGCCTGAATCCAAATGCCTCCAAACTTTGTGCACTGGCCCATCTGTAGTTAAAAATCTGTAAATACTCAACATGTACTCACCTAGTCATTGCTGAGCTGTCCATATTGAGAATATGCAACCATAAAAGATGAATGCACAAAAAAAACAGATAGTTGCCTACACAAAGAACATAGCTTGCTGTGTTCCGTTCAAGAGCATGCATGTTTTATTCTCACTAAAGCACTAAACTTTTCAAAAAGTTCTAGCCATTAGTGTATGGTGTAAATGGAAATTCAGTGACGAAAGTGAATGACAATCAGCTGAAATGCAGGGGGAAAAGTCTTACCAGTGAGAATGATTGGCAAAGAAATGGAAATACAACAAACCAGAACAGAACAAAAACAGCCCATTGCAGATAGAGAGTAATTAATATGGAGCAGGTGGGATATTTTAATTAATTCACTTCTCTGGGTCCCCCCTTTGTGTTCAATGTCTGTGAATATTCTAGCGAATGAAAGGAAGTTGGAGTGTTAGCACTGATGTGGAAACAGCAACAATTAAACAAATATCAAAGACAAATTATTCCTTGATTCTCAGAGTTATGCTCAGCCAGTCAGGGGACAGAATTATACCATGTCATTTACGTCCAATCCAAACTAACTAACAGAGGTTGAGTATTGATGAGCACAGTATAAAAACCTGTATAGAGCAGAACAGAACACTCCCAACAAATTGCTTGAGAACAAGCCCTTTGCCAACCATTATCCACAGAATTGGTGAATAATAATTACATCTGATATTGTAACCTGTCTGTGGGCAGTTTGTGAACAAACAAACAAAAAAAAGATGGAGTGTGTCCAATGAATTATGCAATCAGGTCCATGAACAGGAGATTGGAGGACCAAATGGCAGAGAGATTCAGTGATTCATTAAGCTACAGGATGGAAAGAGACCATCTTAGGACCTCAGGGATGACAACTCTGCAGCCACTGTTTTCTCACGTGTTCTCTGTATCCAAAAGGATGTCAATGAGACATTTTTGTTCTTGACACTGCACACACTTGTACTGGCTTCTGGTCACTCACATTTAAGAAATACATAGTAACGAGAACGGTAGCAGCAACGTAATTCCCTGTGCAATTCTCCTGCTTTCAGAAGTCTGGGTTGGCTGGCAGCTTAGAAAGCATCTAAACATCCAAGGTGCTTATATGGTCCCCATTGCTAACATATGTGAGAACCTCTCCATCTTTGATGTATGTATCCTCACAACCACCCATCTAAGATAGGACAATGTTATTATCCCCATTTCGCCAGATGTGGAACAGCGACCCAGATCCCTCCAAGGTAATTGGGTGCCTAACTTTGACTGAAATATCTTGAGGATCTGGGCCAGAGAAACATAGGGTCTGTCTATCCTGCAGCCAGTGTAGAGATACCCGAACTAGCTTTAATCTAGCTGGCTCAAGTGACAATGGTAGCGAAGCTGCGGTAATACAGACAGCAGCATGGGCTGTTAGCCCAGGACAGAGGGTCTGTACTCAAGTGGCTAGCCTCAGTTCCTGGTTCTTACACGGCACGGATTACTCTCTCTCTCTCCTAGCACTCAATCTCTGATCGGGGCTGTATATAGGGCTGCATAAAGGCTGCACATTAATGCCACTCTTACATTGTGCATCTGCACATTGTACCTAAATTTGAACCATAGATGCCAGCTTTTGAAAGCTAACAGTGGAGGGGTGAGATCTTCAAAAGCACTTGGCATTGATCCCACATTGCTCCCATTGGGAGTGCAGGTAGACCAAGGCAGAGCACTTCTGAAATCCCACTTGAGATATTGGTGGTTATGGGGCAGAAGGGAAACGGAGATGCACCTTAGCCCCAGGGAGAAGAACTTTTAGGAAGATGTTTAAATAAAGACACCGGTAATTAAATCATAGCGGATACACTGATCAGCACAGTGGTCAGGAAGGAATTTCCCATCACAGTGCACTGTTGGCTAGGCGCAGGGTGAGAGCTAGTGTGGGATTTTTATTCCCTCTTTGTTGGTTTTTTTCTTTTCTCTGAAGCATCAGATATTGGCCTCTGCAGGAGTCAGGATAGCGGTCTTGGTGAACAAATGGTCCCCTCAATAGGGCAGAGGATGGACCAATTACAGGGTGTTCACCCACAAAATAGGCACTATCCTTCTTAAAGGATAAACTGCATCTTTTTTTCCTCTTGACTTTGTCAATCAGGTATTTTCAAAAATTAATCAAATTGGCCAGTCACTGATGGTGGCTCCTAAGATGGACAGCTCAGATTAATCCAGCTCTCTTGGTTCAACTGCATTTTTATTTGGATTTTGGAATACCTTAAAGATTAATCAGTGCACAGCGCATATGGGCCCTGGGAGTGGTTACCATGTAAGCCTTTTTAGAAACCCGGACATCTGGATGAAGCAAGTATGGCTTAGCGGGGGTGGGCTGAACGCTGTCTGCTCCTTTAATACAACAAGTAGGATTTGGGTTAAAGGTACAATTTTTCAGACTGCACTTGCTTCTTTTAATTTCACAGAGTAGGAGATTCTTTTTTTTTTTTTCTTTTTAAGGGCACAGATTGAGCTTTGTGAGCAGAGGCAGGCCTCCGAGTGCACCTCCAGAATAGGCATTAGATGACAAATTGGCAGCATTTTATTTGTAACGAGCTATTGCATTGCTACAGTGTATTCTATTGCATCTTAGAATACAGGCCTATGGGCCAAATCCTCAGCTGGTGTGAAATGATGTAATTCCATTGACCTTAAAGCCTGACTCTTTTAAAGGCCTGGAACACCTTTGTACTGTATAGAGAGAGATTTCAGCTCGTCCTGAATGACCACATGAGATGGAGGAAAGCACCAAAAGAGCCCTGATCCCACCTATAAGGGATCAGCATAAGGAGGGTGGGAGTTACAGCACTGCCCACAGTTTTATACACCCCAAAGATCATGGGGAGGGGTTATTGTTCTGCTTTCTGCACCAGCTCCCACTTCAGCCTCTGGCTGGGGGGGAATGATACTGCAAACTGCACCTGCAGAATGGGTGTTAGATCTGCTCCCACGGCTGCCGGATGTAATTCTACTTGTGCACATGCTGTGCAGATAGAATACTCCACGTGGTGCCGTGGCCCTCTGCATCCACCCGCACTGCGGCTGTGCTCGAAAAGCCATGACAGAGCCCAAAGGGTTTGGTCTAGTAGTCAGAGCATGTCTTGCGGGAGGCATGTTTCCAGTTTGGACACTTACTTGTGAGACTTCAGACAACTGACTTTGCCACTTTGGGCCTTATTTTACCCGGCTTAAAACCGTTAAACGAATACTTAACATCGCACATGAGTGCTGTGAGGCTTCGTTAATTGATGTTTGCAAAGCGCTTTGAGTGGAAGAGTCATCATATTATTATAGTGTGTCCGCAGTCAAATTCCGGTTGGGGAGGGTTGGTTTGATCAGTTTTAGAAAGCTCTAATTTTGCAACTGTCAGGGACTCAGGGTGTGATATTAGGCAAGTCACTCAACTTCTCTCTGCCTCAGTTTCCCTACCTGTAGGCCAGGGATAACGGTGTTCACCCTCCTTTATAAAGCACTTGGAGATCAGCAAGTGAGTAGTGTCCTAAAAGACACATCCTAAAGGTGAACCTGTTATTTACAGGTAGCAGACTTACTGGGGCATGCCAACCTGCAGAGCACCCCTTTACAAAACAGCCTTTATTCACATCTCAAATGCCAGACAAAAACTACCTAAAAATCTAACTTCAGTCTTCTTTAAAAATTGGATGACTTTTTCTAAAAGGAAAGCTCAAGTATTAAAATAAAACAGGCTCCCTTATGATTTTTACCACACACTATACATTCAGTAGAACACTCCAAGACAAGTAGATACACAGATTTATCTGTACTTCTTGTGTAGCTGGACAACAGTTCACCTTCTGTCTTAAGGGGACTATTCCACACTGATTGTGCACTCAAAACTCTCATTGAACTTAAGTTCTGTGTAGGACAGTAACTATACTTAATGAATATATTAACAAGAGTGCTAAATGGAAGACACGGGAGGTAATTGTCCTGCTCTGCTCAGCACTGGTAAGTCTTCAGCAGAAGTTCTCTGTCCAGTTTTGGGCACTGCACTTTAAGAAAAATATGGACAAATTGCAGAAAGTCCAGAAAAGAGCAATAAAAATGAGAAAAGGTTTAGAAAATCTGATGGATGAGGAAAGATTAAAAACAAAACAAAACAAAACAGGGCATGTTTAGTCTTGAGAAAAGAAGACTGAGGGAAGACCTGATAATAGTCTTAAAATATGTTAAGGGCTGTTATAAAGAGGATGGTGATCAATTGTTCTCCATGTCCACTAAAAGTAGGAAAAAAGTAATGGTCTAAATCTAAAGCAAGGGAGATTTAGGTTAGATATTGGGAAAACCTCTCTCGCTGTACAAATTGTCCAGTCTGGGTCAGGTTGATGATCTAAAAACCTGACATAAACTTGATACCAAGGGGGCAAACCCAATGGTGGGTTTGAAAAACTGACACCTACCAATGCTCTAGGCTGGAGTTGGTGAAGGGGGTATCACCTCTGTTAAGCTTTTCACTTGCGGGTAGGTTCTTTTATTGGTATTTTTAAAATATGTTTTCTCTGTAATGCTTTTACCTTAAGAATAAATGTGCTTGCTTAGAAACAGCTGTGTAGTAACTTGTACACTGCTGGCAATGGACTGTGCATAGCCCTTGGCGAGAAAGCAAAGCACAGGCACAGGCCTTTAGGCAGATTGGTTGGCTGGGGATACTATAGCGTAAGGCAAGGAGCAGACTTAAAACCCCCAGTCAGAAGAGAGTGGGACAAGGGCCCCTACCCAGAGACAGGTGATGGCAGAAGACCTGAGACCTGACTGAGAACTCCTGGAGTGGACCATGGAGAGGGGGATACAGATGCAATTAACCTGAAGCTGTGACACCCGTCACTGGAGGTTTTTAAGAACAGGTTGACAAACACCTGCCAGGGATGGTCTAGGTTTACTTGGTCCTGCCTCAGCTCAGGGGGATGAACTATATGACCGCTCAAAGTCCCTTCTAGTCCTACATTTCTATGACTCTATACAAGGAAGATATTCGGTATAACTGCCACATGTTACAGTAAACTTGTTACAGGATTGCTTATTATAGAAAGAGATTCAGAAAAGAGAAGCTCTACTCAAACCAATGAAACCGGTGAGCCAGACGGAGACTGTGGTGCTTTTCTTTTAGCAACTCAACCTCAAGCAACCTGGGGCTTTCCCAGCTACAACTCGCACTCTACATTTTACTGTCGGTTAAAAAAAAAAAAAAGTACAGTGAAAGATGTTGGGTTTTCCACTCTGTAAGCAGTTTAACTTTAGAAACCTTATTACCATATACCTTCCAGCTAGCATTACAAGATGGTTTAATCAGACAAGGAGCCAATTCAACCCTTCACTAAGCCCACTGAAGTCATGGAGTTACATCAAGATGCATTTGACCCCAAGGCGTTCTCTCAGAATGAAAGGTTGTTTCAAATGCCGTTGGATGACAGCCTCAGAAGAGTAGTGAAATATTACTCAGAACAGTTGCTGCACCTTTCCTTATGGGAATTCCTCTTGTAAATATCACCAACAATATTTCAGGCCAGATTTTCCTGCATGTGCATGTTTTGCAGTTACCACAGTAGATCATGCCATTGTGAGAAGTATGCACACCTCCCACTGCCAAAATATCTTACCAACTTACCACCATTGCACACATCATTCTGAAAATCTGACCCTTTATTTCATTCCTTGGAATGGTTTTCTTGAAGTCTCTCCAGAGGGGAAACCCGGAATACAGGTCTGCAATTTTACTGTGGCATTCTAAGGCCTCGTCTACACGGGGGGCGGGGTGGGGGGGGTGAGGGAAATCGATCTAAGTTACGCAACGTTATTCACGTCACTGAAGTCGACGTACTTAGAGCTACTCACTGCAGTGAAGACACCGCGGTGACTAGCTCTGAGTTGACTGCTGCTGCTCCCGTCAACTCTGCCTGCGCCTCTCATGGCGGTGGAGTACAGGAGTGGACGGGAGAGCATTTGGGGGTCGATTTATTGTGTCTAGACTAGACGCGATAAATTGACCCCTACTGGATCGATAGCTGCCCGCCGATTCGGCATACCCTAAGACAACGTAATGGGGTAGATTTGTCAATAATGGCTCATATCTTGTGACCCATGTGCACTCTCCAGGCTGACTATTCCTGATTCTCCATCTTTTGAATTGTGTTTGTTCAAAATTGAGTGAAATGTTCAAAAAGTTTAATATGCTTATTCAGAAACTGGCAAATTTGGGCCAATGGCACCTCACAAATAATCACCCACTTAACTTGGAACTATTGCATGTGTGAGTGACTAATTTAAAGTTATCAGTGCTGGACTGTCAGTCCTGGTCATTAAGAATAGGATTTTCAAAAGCGTTCAGCATCAGTCTGATTCTGTTCACACGGAACCAACTGGTAAAACTCCCATTGATTTCAAGGGGAATAAAGCTCAGCATTTTTCAAAATTCCTCTGCTGTCCACAGAATGGTACAGGAAACATCAGCAAACGTGTCCCACAACTCCTCACCAGCTGCACCTTAAAACCCCTTTGTGGAGATACCATGCAAGGGTGAGACTAAAGTGCAGTCTGCAAAGCCAATTCATTCCTTGGCTTCTTTGCTAAGACCGTTCGCAAGAGTGCCAATGAGTGCTGGTGTTTTTTATGCTCTGTCAGCTAACCGGTGCGTTGAGACCATCTATAGTACGCCTTTCACTAACTCCCAAGCAGCCTGGATTTGAGCTGGAAACCCAGAGGGGAAAGGATCTCCATCCCAGCCATTCCCATTCCTTTGCACTACCTAGTCCTACTACAAAGTGCTCCAGATGTAGCTTTGCTTTGGGACATGGGATGGCTCAAAGGACTGATGATGTGCACCCCCTTTGACTCCTAGATTAGTGGTTTGAACCTTGCCTCAGCTGATAGTTACCAAGAGTCATAGCCATCTGAGAGCATTACCCTGGTCTACAATAGTACAACGAGATGAGAATCTCAAGCATTTCTGAATGGACCATTACCCACAGCTGTGTTGGCAATCTCAGCCCTAGCACCACTTTTATTAATAAATCCAAAGCTGCCTCTCCCATACAGGTGCAGATTTCACAGACATACATCCTCCGTTGCCCACTCCTTACTCGCCCATTTCCGAGCTTTTTTTTTTTAATAAAGTGGGGGGGGGCAGGAATTCCATGCTCTCCTTCTGACCTTTTTTCATTTCAATGCGTGTCCCAGGTACCTTGCCAAGAAAATGCAAGAAAGAGCTGCTGGCAGTAAAGCTGCGGAACAGGCCAAGTAAGCAGGAACTGGAAGACAGGAACATTTTCCCAAGGAGGACGGATGAGGAACGCCAGGAAATCCGGCAGCAAATCGAAATGAAACTTTCAAAGTAAGTCAGTTTAAGAGACGGAAGGGGGGTAATCTTTATAGTGAAGTCTCCTCTGCACCTCACCTCACTATACACATGTCCCTTAGCCCATTTCCCATGGGGCGTCATGCAGAAAGGGACAACATCAACAGCAGACAGCAGCCTTGGCTTCAGGGCCATGCTTTGCTTTTGATCTCTGAGCTCACACACTTTGTGCTATGGGCTGGTCACCTGATCTCCTTGAATCAGGCTATTCCACCCTAAAATAAAAAGCAAAGCTCAATGCAGTGAGTTAGATTCTAGCCCTGGAATGTATGCCCGCACCTCCCATTGAAGTCAATTGATTGTTCTAGCTCCTATCTTTCAGGAGCACTAAATTAACCACCAAACTTTTCAGCTTTGTCTACACTTGCACTTATCCTTGATTGCAGCCATCAGTGTATCTGCAAACCCGCATTATAGGCAGGGAAAGCTGCAGTGTGCACTGGTGGGGCTTAACTGACCCGGTTTCAAATAAGGGCTGGTCTATACTTACCCGTTAGTTCGACGGCTGGAAATCGATAAATCGATCCCGGAAGTGCTCGCCGTCGACTGCGGTACTGCAGCTCGGCGAGAGGAGTACCGCGGAGTCGACGGGGAGCCTGCCTGCCGCGTGTGGACCGCGTCTGAACCGCGGTAAGTTCGAACTAAGGTATGTCGACTTCAGCTACGTTATTCACCTAGCTGAAGTTGCGTACCTTAGTTCGAATTGGGGGGTTAGTGTAGACCAGGCCTAAGGGTCAGCTTCAGCAGGGCTTTCTTTGCCAGGGCTAGAGATTGCAGCTCCACAGATGGCTGAAATCTGGGCTAATTGCAAGGGTAGGAAAGACCTGTTTTCTTTGAGTAAATGGCTTGCAAACACTTAACCAGGGCATGAGGGCTCAGCTGTATAGGAGAAACCAGTATTGCAGTTAGATAGTGTAAGCAAAGATTTACAGAAACCATTAGATTCAAATTGCATTGGTTTTTTTTTTTTTAAATAGCTAAATTTAGATTATTTGCAAACCTGAATGTTTTAGTTGTGACAAAATGGATTGTTAAATAATCTGTGCTGGGCGCTCCCACGCTAGAATAGGCAGTTCTGAAGGGCAGCCAAAATGGTTGAAATCTAACTGTGAAAGCTGAACAGGAGTTCATATTGGAGGCTTTTTAAATATTAATCATTGGAATCTGCTTTTTCAAGAAACAGTTGCTGTTATTCAAGCAAGAGCTGGGCCAACTCTTCAGTCTGTACATTTAATAAACTTTTGTTTTAGATCAGGGATCGGCAACCTTTGGCTCGCGGCCCATCAGGGAAATCCCCTGGCGGGCTGGGATGGTTTGTTTACCTGCAGCATCCACAGGTTCGGCCGATCGCAGCTCCCACTGGCCAATGGGGGCTGCGGGAAGCAGCTCGGGCCGAGGGATGTGCTGGCCGCCGCTTCCCGCAGCCCCCATTGGCCTGGGACGGCGAACCGCGGCCTGCCAGCGGATTTCCCTGATGGGCTGCGTGCCAAAGGTTGCCGATCCCTGTGCTAGAGGATTGGGAATGAGGTTGATAGATCAGAGTGCAATTCATAACGGACAGATGTCTACATCATAAAACACATCATCACATTTGGCCCCTCTGCTGGCAATCTCAGCTAAAAAAAGACCAGTGATTGAACATGAAGAATAAAATATTTTAGAGTACTTTACAAATGTTAGTTAAGCTTCACAGTACCCCGGGATGCTGATAATGGATACAGAGGATTCATTTTACATTGTCTTTGTTTATTATCTTTATTTAATATTTGTATTATGGTAGCGCTTAGAAGCCAACAGATAATGGGACCATATCGTACTAGGCACTGCACAAACACAGAGTAAAACACAGACAATGGATTTAACATGCAGGTAGAGTGAACAATGTGATGGTTGACAATCACCACGTTAGTGCCAAGATGTGAAGCCATCTTTGGGAGTGGATCATGGGGGACGTTCCAAAATATAACTGTCTTGCCAACAGCTTAGGACAGAAAGTGAAGAATACATGGGCCTGATCCTGTACGCCCTGCACATGTGAAACGTCCATTTGCCTTCCTGAGCTATTGGAAGTGTAGGTGCATTTTAGGCAGGCAGAAGTCCCTGAGTTGCAATTTGGCCAAGATATTGGGCCTAACAGTCTTAGTGACACGTGCAAAATTACGATGTGATCTGTAATAGGCAGTCGGGAGCCTGATTTTACAACTCATCTGAAACACTTGGAAAAGTGCCCCCCTGATGCTAGACGGGGACATTTGTATAGTCTTCACTCAGTGTGAAGGGTGTCACCTAGTGAATCTCCATCATCTCTTCCTGCTGTAACACTTGGGTGCTCCGTGGAGGTCTCCTGTCTAACTACCAGCGCAGCCTAGGGTGACCAGATAGCAAGTGTGAAAAAATCGGGACGGAGGTTGGGGGGGGGGGTAATAGGAGCCCATATAAAAAAAAGGCCCCAAATATCGGGACTGTCCCTATAAAATTGGGACATCTGGTCACCTTAGTCCAGCCTGACCCTACTTGGTTTGTCAGAGCCAGCGGAATCTTAGCACAACTTAGGATGGCTACAGGCCATTCCCCTTTCTTTGTGGGTACCATTTAGCCACTTTGTGGTAGAAAAGGAAAATAAGTTTAAGAAATTATGCCTAAAATTAGTGTCACTATAAGGACTTACGACATAAGTGTGTCTGCCTACCAGAGGAGCATAATGCATGATCATGACTGGAAGTTGTGGAAGGAAAGGTTTGGTGTACAAATATAAAGAAGACAGCTGATGAGGAGCAGTCTATGATGTAAGTTATTAATCTGGTAGGTAATGTCTACAGATGGCTGAAAGGACATGCTCATTTAGTGTAACTGAAGACATGCTTTCATTTCCCTCCTCCTTCTTCCCAGAACTCAACAGACTGAGTTCATGAAACAGAAGGTGCAGAGATGGCTAGAATAGCCTGCCATGCAAAACAGATTGGAGCCAGTCCCCCACATATTTCTGAGCATATATGAGCACTGGGACACCTTGCTCTTTGCTCATCAACCAGAATAGAGCATGACGATGCAAACAAGCTCAGTCAGCAGATCTCTGATGGGGAAATATTTTCATGATGAAAGGCACGCACATGTCAAGGATAACCCCATTTTGAAAATACAGAACTATGTAGTGTCCTGGGGATATCCTCTCAATGTCTGACTCCCACTTTGGGAAGAACCACAGAAAAACCCCGACTTCTCCCCAAAAAACCATGCCATGTTTTACACTAAACTTGGTGCCTACTTGGCCAGGAGTTTGTAAGTTTAGTTAAGGTGGTGGAGATGCCTATGCAGTGCAGAGATGCGTTGAGATTTTCAAATATCCTTAAATCCATTTCAATGGGAGCCTGTGGCTAAATCCCTTAGTTGGCTTTGAAAATCTCAGTGGTGATCAATGAAGCTTATACAGGGCGTAAATTCATATAGAATATTTCCCGGATCCGCCTTCCCCGCCCCCAACATGCTATAAAAACTACAAGGGATTGGAAAATATTTACCTGAGCTCTGCTCTGGACAACTCCGGCTGAATTTAAGCCCTGAGTTTATAGATGTGGAACTCACTAGTGAGTTCTCAGTTTTAAGGAACTCTTTATCTTAGGATCCAGCACTTGGTTCCAGTGGAAATTGCTAATGTGTTTGTGATCTGACCACCATGTAGATGGATTTCAGCACACGGCAGCTACTGTTCCAATGATAGCATTGTGATGATAATGCTGAGTGGGGCTTACTCAACTATGAATCCAAATGTACAATCCAATTACAAACCTGTCCTCTACGGCTAGAGATGTGATTCCCAGTTTGCACAGACATACCTGTGCTAGCTCTCACTGAGTGAGTGCGCTAAAAATAGTAGTTTAGCCACAGTAGCACAGCCACAGTAGCACAGCCAATGGCACAGGTTAGCTGTCCCAAGTACCTACCCATAGGGTCCAGGCAGGCTTGCATTCAGGACAGCTTGCCCATGCTATCATTTGCTGCTGCCTGTGTTACCGCGGCTACCCTGCTATTTTTAGCACTCTAGCATGATGAGAGCTAGTGCGAGTATGTCTACACTCCCACCTCTAGGTGTAGACATAGCCTAAGAGATGAGATAGAACCGGGAGACTGATGACTCGTTGTTCAACAGCTGTCTGATTCTTGATAAACTAGCCAGTAGATAGGCAGCCATGTTCCAGATACGTTATTTACCAGCTGTATCCTCATGGATTTGAAGGAGTTCTAGGGTAGCTAGCAAAGTTCTTCTGTAACACCGACTGACCCCAATCATCAGCGGGCGGGATCAAACCTGGGACCTATGGAGTTTAGTGCATGAGCCTCTACAGCATGCACTAAAAGCCAACTGGCTGTTAGCTAAGGCTGTAGAGCAAACTCATTAATCTCTCTCTTTAAGTGGTCTCGGTGCCACTAGATGGAACAGAGCACCACACCCAGGAGGTGTATGGGTTATACTTCCATCCCACCTTTAAATCACTAATTTTACATGACAACATTCTGCCGGCTGGAAAGAGAGCCGTGCTTAAGTATTTTATGAAAATACTGAAATAATTATTTTAGAGTTAGTCAAAAAATGGGAAAACTTTTCATGAAAAACGGGGCCCGTTGCTTCACCAAAAAAAAAAAAAAAAGTCAACATTCAAAGATTCTGGATCAATTCTAACTGATAGATATAATAGCTGGAGCGAAAGTGGATGCTCAACTTTTGAACGGATAAATAGTGACACAGCCAGACCCACAGCACCCTTCCTCACTCCAACTTATCAGGTGGCCTCCTCACTCCCCATCAGAACCGAATCCTGAAAACTCCTGAAGCAGATTAGTCCAGTAGAAATCCATTGACTTCAGTGGAGTTGCTCCTGACTGACATCAGTGTGGGGCAGAATCCCTCTCTTTTCCCCCCATTTCTAATCAAATAAATCAGCCACTTTTTGCTATGGAAATATGTCCCTCCCCAAATG